GTTTAGGGCTATTCTAGTTGGGCTACAAACCGAAGACGGAAATCTAAACGAATCGAGCAAATCAGACAGAAATGCAGTGCCAATGGGGTCCCGTTAATTTCATCACTCCCCAGCTGAACAGCTTGAGAATCGCATCGCCGAGAAGAGTGCCAAGCTACGATTACAACTTCGATAATCCGCGATCTATCGATCTTTCGATCATTTGATATGATGTGTGCGTGTGTGAGAGTTACTGTCTGTGGGTCAGTGGGTGTGGGTGTGCGTGTGCGTGTGTGTGTGTGTATGAGAGTGCTGCGCGGAGTGTGATATTCAGAGTGGAATTTTCTCGCACTAAACTGTATTTTGGCAAAATTTGCAAAGAAATGTGCCAATTTGCATGTTCTTTCTATCGAGAGGGCGAAACCTGTCCAATTTTAGGTGACGTTCTTGGTTATCTCTGCTTTTAGTTTTATTTCGGCCTAGCAATATTTTTTTTTACGAGTTCCAATCTTTACACTTTATGCTCAAGGTACAATTGTCTTTCTTTTTCTCTTATTTTCTCTTTTATTTTTTTTAATTTGAATTCGTCATATGTTTTTACTTTATAATTTTATATCTTATGTTTCTTTTTAGCTTTCATCACATTTCATTTCGAATTTGAAATAAGCGATTTTAGTGTTAGGCTATATTGTTGTTAATTCGTTTACCGATTTAATTTTGATTTGGCTTTCGTGGTAGCTTGTTATCACCGCTCTATATAATGATCAACCAAAGCAAAGTGAACAAAACCGAAAAAATGAATTTGATTTTGGTTTACATTTTTTTTATTAAACGTTCAAGTCACAGCCCTTTTGTGTTTTTGGTTTTTTGGTTTATCAAATAATACTTAAGGGTGAACAAGTTAAATGATATACAAATCGTAATGGAATGTGCCAAATTCTCTGTCAGGTGTTGGGGGTTGTGTCTGGTCCAGTCCTGGTCTCCGCCAATTGAAAGTGATCGCAAGCCGCGTGTCGCGAGCTCGGAAAATAATGAGAAAATAAAACAAGGTTGGTTGCATTGTATTTTTGTGGTTTTCAATTTGTTTTCTCTTTTATTTGTTCTGCTTGTTTTGTTTTTGTTTTAGTTTAGTTTATTGTGTGTTACGCTTTAGAAATAATAGTTAGGATAATTTAGGGGCTTAGTATCTCTCCTCTTGGTATATGTATAATCGCATATATTCGCATAATTTTGCCAAAATCAGTTTTTGCACTAAGTTTGAATCCGCTTCAAGAGTAAGTATATTGTACATGATCTAAAACGTTTGTATATTAGCATGGAATAATAATAATTGTAATAATAATGCATCGTTTTATATATTCATTCAAATACGTGTTCGTATTTTCAATACATAGAGAAATCATAATAATAATTTGACAAAATAATCATAATACATAATAATGATAATGATAATAGTAATCCATTATTATCTCAATAGTTTGACTCGGATCTTGATCTTCTCATTACTCTTTAAGGTTTAGTTTTCATTATGCAATAATTAACTTGAATTTGACTAGATCGATATCGATTCATACAAGATCGTAAATACATATAGTGTGTGGTGTGCCTATGGTGTGGGTATGGTGTATATGTGTGTGTGTGTGTGTGTGTGTGTGTGTGTGTGTGGGTGTGTTTATGTTTTGGTGACTTAATAAAATTCTAGTTAAGCATCCATTTCGTTTCGAAGCTGTCAAATTGTTTGCTGTCTTGCTCAACTACTTTTGGATAGACTCTAAATCAATTTGATAATTTTGCATATATGTATGTATGTATGTATATGTACTTGTATATGTATTTGTATGTTTGTATGTAGATAGTTATAATTTTATGTATGTGTATGTTAAATAACTGCGATTTCAATTCGTTTCATTCATCTGTGTGGGACTTTCATCCGCTTCTAGGTTTTCCGTTCTATATTTACAAGATATCTCCGCCTGGGACTTAACATTTTGTACGAAAAAAAAAGTAGGAGTAAAATTAATCGAATCTGATATATATAATACTTGCCATTTACTCTGGGCTTTTCTCGGCTAGCAGACTAGAGATCTACTCGTAATACTGTCCCAATGAATCTGCCTGGCAATGGTGGTAATTGAAACTGAAACCATTACTAAACTGATTTTGATATTGATATCTGCTGAGAGGGGAACTCATGGGAGAATAGCTCTGCACAAAATGATATATTTTATGCTTTTGTAACAAAACTAACTTCAACTTTGATAACAATTTCCCTTTCATATTTCTTATAAATTTAAATATATGTATATATATATGTGTGTATGTATATATTTGGTAATAATTAAATTTCATATCTTTAGTATCAAATACGTCCCGCTCGACTGTGGAGAACTCCGCTGCAGGACCCACAGACTAGGCGACTCTAAACGTAGCTGTTTTCTCTATACAAACTCTAAATAATTGTTCATTTTGTTATCTCAACCTAATCTGCATCCTTTTCTTATCCATATCCTTTCATTTTTGGCATATTTAGCTGTAGATTTGACGCTTCTCTTCTCTTCTCTACCCTTCCTTTGCTTTTGTACAAGTTTTGCTGCTAATTTAGTCAAATTGGTAATGGTTCGATTCAACAGACTGTTGTTGAGTTGAGTAAATGTTGGATAAAGATTTCATTTTTTTCGTTTTTTGTGTTCCTTTTTTTACTTTATATGATAATAATAAGTTAGATTCGTGTATGTTCTGGATGTGTTTGGGGTGTGTTCTATGTTAGAGAGTGTGTAACAAAGGCCAAAACGTTGATTAAATTCAAAATGACGTGTTCAATTCTCTAGTTTTGCTAAAAGTTTTTGCTCCTTTCGTTCTTTTTTTATTATTATTTTTTTGTTTTTTATAAAAAATGCTAATTTAATTGTTGTCCATATATCGTAATAATAATCAATAATTAATCATATATATCATTTTAAGTTGTTAAGTGTTAAATAGTTTTCTTAGTCGGGCTAGGGCGCGCTATGGTCAACTTGAACGTTTTTGTTATCTGGGTCTGGGTCTGGGTCTGGGTATGGTTAGGGGTCTGTTTATGTATCATTATCTGTTCGGTTCGGTTCTTGGAGCTGGGCTTGAAAATAACTGGCCAAAATCTTCGGGTTTCTGCTGTTGTGTATATATGTATATATATATATATATATATGTATGTATATATATTTATAGTTATGAATATATACTTTCTTAGCAAAATTTTTGTTTTCTTCCGCTTCTCTTTTCGTTTCTTTTGTAGCTTATACCTTTGCTCATATATTCTTTTGAGTTTTTTTATTTAGTTTTGTTTCTTGCATCGTTTTCTTTATATATATATATACATATATATATGTATGTATGTATATTTGTAAGTACCTGTATTTGTTTTTGTTGCAAGCAGCTAAGTTTAAGTGTAAAATTTTTGTTGTTTGTTTTTATACAAATACTAGTTTATTATACTATAAAATCGATTACGATTTTCATTAGTTTTAGAAAAGTTCCCAACCGAACTCCAAACAAAACGAACAAAAAAACAGAATTCGTAATTGCAAACTAGTATTGTAGAAGAATATCTCCAACAGAGTTCTTAGGCCAACACAAGTGATCGCTTCAGAGATTTGTATTAATTTATCTTTGCTAGTTTTATTTTTACTCCTTCATTCGATTTCTCGATTCCCGTTAATAGCTCTAACAAATTCATATTAGATTAGTTAGATTAGTTTCTCATTTATATACTATAAAAAAAAATTGATATTTTTGCTTTGCGGCGAGGCCAGGCACACCCTTTGGGGATTTGGCCTGGGCTCGACCTATCCAGTAGCACTATATACCTCAGTATATATATATATACCTCAGTATATATATACATATATATGTATATATATATTGCGCTTTCTGTCCTTCATCTTCTCCTATTCCTACTCCACCTCCATCTCCCCATACGTATCCGTATCCGTATCCTTCCACATAGCCATCAAAGCATTGCGCATATTAAGTGGCCTGCTCTGAGCTCGTCTAGTCCTAACTTCTTATATCCTTTTGTTTTACTTAAAATTAATTAAATTCGAATTTTTGTGTTAATTTTCATTCATACACACACATATATGTATATACATATATGTATATGTGTATATATATATATATATATACTTGTATATGCATATATAGAACATTCTGCCTTTTGCTTACCACTAAATGCTAAAAAGTTGCAGAGCTATGTATGTTCCTCTATCAATCATCGCCTATACTCTATCATTTAATCCCTCTTCTCATCTACACCATCTTCTACACCCTTCTCGTTTAACTCGTTTAACTGTCAACTCCATTCGATTTTATCATCATCAGATTAACAAATTCAGTTTTGATAGTTTTTCTCTTGTATTTGGTTTCTTTAAATTTTTTTTGTTTTCTGCAGCATTTTGTTAATTTAATAAATTCCCATCACCAATTTTTCTTATAAAATGGTTGCTGCTCTACTCGAATCTCCCTCTTTTTTTTTGTTTTTTTTTTTTGTTTAATTCATTATTTGTTTCGTTTTTTTTTTTTGTTTATTTGAAAACCCAGATAATTTTGGTCTCTTGCCAGTCAGTTTTTGTCTCAAGTTTTTTGTCCTGTGTGTGGTGTGTGTGTTGGGTGTGCATATGTTATGTGGTTTGTTGTTTTCTTTTTAACAAAATTATCAATATCAATGTTTGTTCCTTGCTTCTATAAATATATATATTTATGTGTCTATATATATTCATAATAAATCGATATTTTGGCAAAAAAATTTTGTTCTTTCTTCGGGCTGCTCAACATCATTATCATTTTGTTTCTGTTGGTTTTCTCTTTAATTTTTTAAGTACTGCATTCGGCTGCATGTATAATCGAATAAATATATATATAGTTGCATGTATGTTCTGCTGTTTTGTATATATATATAAATCTATTTAAATTTCAGCTCTAAAGTATTTTCTTTTTTTATTATACATTTTTTTGTTTGTTTACTATTTTTTAGGTTTTTTTACACACGCTTTTGCATGTGTTTAATTTTTATAATCATTTTCACTTAGCATGGTGAAGACCATCTGAAAAGAGGTAATGGTAAAGCATCAGTTTGCTGATCCAAGTTTTGTCGTTAAGATCTCCTTCCAAGCAGATCGCCGAGGCAGCTCTTCCAAGCAGATCGCCATTTGGAAAGAGATCTTCTTCTTGTTAAAGTGGCTGGGGGGGATTGGGATCCCCAATCACTCGAACTCAATGGCTCACCCTTTCAGTAGTCGCTCGTTATTGTTGTCGCAGTTGTCATGGTTGCTGTTGTGGGTCCTGGTGGCTTTAGGTCTTTCGCTTTTGTTGCTGCCACTTGAACAGTTTTTCGACTAGTTCCACTTTGGATAGGTTCTTCTGGTTGCTATTGGATGCCATGTCCGGTTGAGTTGGATGTGGATGGGAATCGTCCATTCTGCTGCTGCAGTTGCTGCTATTGTTGTTGGTGGTGGTGCTGCTGCTGGTGGTGTTGTTGGTGCTGTTGTTGTTGTCCTTGCTGCAGTTGTTGGTATTGCTGATGTTGCTGTTGTTGTTGCTTTTGGGGCTGGGGGAGATGTTTCTGGGGGTACTATAGCGATAGCAGTAGGTACCATTTCGCCAGCTGGCGAATTGATACGGCATATGAGGGGAGTTGTCAGTGGGAAATGGTGGCCTAAAGCTGCTTCTGTGACTATAGTGGTGCACTGTGGTTGTTGCTGTGGCTGTTGCTGTGGATGCTGTTGCTGCTGCTGCTGTTGCAAATTGTGTTGTAGTTTGTGGCATGGCTGCTCCTGCGACTACTCCTGTTGTTGGTGCTCCAGGAAGTAGTTGTAGTTGTTGCGAATTACACTTAAGGAACTCCGATTGTTAATAGGGTCGACTGGCATCCTTTGGCCGCTTCAATTGAACTTTCAGTCTTTTCATGCCAATCTGGAAGCCATTCATGGCCTGAATGGCCGCTTGAGCGCTGGCTGGATTATCGAAGGACACGAAACCTACATAAAGAGAGTCATTTGATTAGGCAAAGCTGAATATAATAGTTAAGGGTATATTGAGACTCTACCGAAGCATTTGCTCTGGTTTGTAGCACGATCGATGAAGACCTTGGAGCTGATCACATTGCCAAAGGGCAGGAACATTTGCATTAACTCCGCATCGCCAAACTCTTGGGGCAAATGGTAGATGAAGAGATTGCAGCCCTCTGGACCGGATATCGAGCATCCTGGGAACATCAGAAAATCTTAAAAGAAGACATTACAAGAAAAGAAACAAAGTAGAGAATGAAATTAAGCGATGGCAAAATCATAATTTCGAACTTTATGAGTATGTCTGCTTTCTTGTTCTTGTTCTGTTTGCATTGATTTCGTTTCGTTTGATTTTGTTTGAATTCGAATTGATCGATTTCGGATTTCTGATTTTCGGGTTTTTTGATTTGTGCTCTGATCTGTGATCTGTGTTCTGTGGCTGATCATGTTTACTGGAGGATTCAACTAAAACTAAAGCGCTTTGAGGGCGGCGCAAACTAAGAAACAAAACCATAACCAAACGAACAGGCTAAATGATATGCGAAAAGGCTTTTATATTCGTTTAGTCTAGAAATGCTTAATGAATCTAGTAATATATGTATACTATAGACTTTAGCTTAGGTCTCTACCAAGTATTCCAGCCCCAAATTACCATATGATTGTTATAATATGTATATTCTATTTATATATGTATATATGAGATATAGTGTCTGTATATTTGTATGTGCGCGAGTGTCATGCAGGACGGATTCTAGGGGTTACGGATACATAGAGATACAACAGACTACGGCGCAACAGATATCGAAATAGAACGTTACACTCAAGATAGGTTTATAGTTAGCATACAGGTAGTATACACACACACACACACACACACGCACGCATACGCACACTCACATACATACATAGATATCATATAGATTGCAATACACAGTCGCATACCCACAGACAGACATAAATTATATAATGTTTTACTAAGGGGGGCGGCGGAGTGCTATTGTCTCTGTCCAAATAAAAAGAAGAGGAGGAACGACAAAACGAACCGAAAAAGAAACATAAAATTTTATGAGCAAATGTCTTCGAAATACGCCGACGGTCTTTATATGATTTTAAGCAGTTTATATGTAATTTTTACGATGGCATAAAATGCCTTTGAATGCAGCTATTAAAAACGATTTACGCCTTGCCCGACAACCCCCAGCGCGAAAGGGTTGAATGTCCTCATTCGCATCCCTTCTTCTCCTTCGAGGGGTTGTGGAAAGAGATAAAATGTTTATCAAAATAAAACAAAAGGCAAAAGGAACAGGACCAGAACACTGTATGCAAAGTAATTAATTTTTATGAGATTTTGTTTTAAATTTAATTTCTCTCGGAACAAAACAAAAAAAAAATTAATTACTTTTCAGGATTGGCTTGATCGAGCCCCATGAAGACCGATATTATATTGTCTGTGTGTCTGTGTGTGGCATGGGTTTGTGTGTGTATGTATCATATGTATTGTAAATACATATGTATATGTTCACGATGACAATGAATCGAAGTAAACATGGAGCGAAAGATTAACGAGTACTTGATGAAAACAAATAAGTATTTGCAGTTGTTTGTTAACGTATCATTCGATATTTTGCAAAAATCAAACACGATATCGAGTTACGAGAACGGAAACGAACGAACTAGTACGTGTAGGCGGTTTCGAGGGTTAGGAGGGTTACGGGTGTTACGGGGGTTACGGGTGTTACAGGATTTGATTAAAAAAATAATAATGAAAAGCTTACCTTCACGCTGAGTGGGTGCAACCGCCGCTAGGGGAGGTGGTAAAGCTTGTGGAAACTGTCCATAGACGGCGGGGAAGGCTGCATTATATATAGATAATTTTTGTTTTTGGTTTTTACACAAATTCCGAAACATTTATGAAGACAACACAACAATTAAGTATACATACGAGTATATATGTATGTAGTATATATATAATTAAAATTGTAAAGTAATTTTATAGTTTAGTAATAAACAAATAATGATACACACTTTAAAAGAATATTCACATTAATGCTAATACCCCAGCCCATTAGGGGAGCTGGACTTGAGAAAGAGTTTTCAAAATGATGAGCTGATACATATATATGTATATTTAATATATCACTTTTTCCCATCAGAACGTAACAAATAATTAATTAATTCAGCTCTTAAGCAACAAATGTTAACCGTTTAACATTGAACAATACATCTTTTGTGGTAAACCAATTATCAAATAACTAAGTCAATCATATTCAAATCAAAAGCCAACAGAAAGAACCAAGCAAGCGTTGTTGATTCGCATGAAATTCGCGATAGAGCGGCGTTACTTTTGCATTAGTTACGGATAGTGAAATCGCATAGAAATCGCATTAGAGAATCTCTCTCCTTTCTTTCTGCAACATTCGCTTGCTTCCGTTCAACAAAGGAAATCAATTAAATATTTATATAAAAGTTAGAGTTATATAACACTTTACTAACAGTAAATATTTATGGCATGACACAACAATTATTATTTATTTCGATAAAAAACAATTATGAATGATTGGTTTGTTTTTTTTGTTGTTGTTGGTTTCTTTGGAATCTTTGGATGGATCTGGTGGTATAAACGATAATGACTATGGTGACGATGGCACATACTTAACGCCACTGCTGGCAATGCTTATGCTGTGGCTAATTATGAGACTGAACGCGGCTCAATGACAAGGCAACATGTTTCGAGTGTGCAGAATGAGGACGCAATGATTTTGGGAGTTTGAGCTAATTCCAATTAATGCCTTTTTTGTGGTGCCTAACCTAGATATTCTTAGATCTTAGAGCTAGGAGTAAAGACTTAGTGTGCGCCAGCTGGGGGACACTTACCAACTCCTGGAAACGGTGGCAGCCCAGGGAAGGCATGTTGCAGAGTAGCAGCATCGCCGTTTGGCAGACCTTGTGGTGGTATAGTCAAATGCAGCGGATCTGCAATGAGAAGGATTGATGAAAATTCCAGGAATACGTACGTGGAGTCGTGTACAGATTGGGCCAACTTATAACCGATTTTCTTGGTAAAGGAGCCCCAAAGTAAGCTTTGGATTCGCTGGTACTTACGTCCTGGGAATGCCGTTTGTGGAATGCCGTTCGTGAAGACCCCGTCCGCCGCAGCAGCTGCTGCAGCCGCGGCAGCTCCGCCGGGCTGGCCGTTGGGCGTGTTGGCGCCCATGCTGAAGTTGGGCATGGTCGGCGAGGGCAAAGAGGGCGGCTGTCCGGTGCCGTTCAAGCCATGAGGTATTTGCGTTGCCAGGGCGGCCATGGGGTTCATGTAGGCGGCTGCCGAGCCAGGCGCGGTGGCAGCGGCAGCCATCAGAGCGGCTTGCTGCTGTTGCTGTAGAGATTCGAAAAAAGATGGTGGGCGTAAGAGGAGATGGAGCTGGAGCTGGAGCTGCATCCCACTTACCTGAGCGTAGGCGCCGTACGGGCTGAACTGATTAAAGACAAACGGATTCAGCAGGTTCATATGACCGGCCATTTGTTGCATGCGCCTGATTTGTCGTTCCTTCTCTGTGTCGGCGTATTTGACGACCAGGCTGGAGGATGCACCCTGGAATATAAGAGGGCCGGGAGCGAATTAGGTGGGAGTGAGGCTAACTGGCATTCCATATTTATAGGAGGCTTTTCCGTTTTCCTTTTTATTCGCTCTACTCCCGGGAACAGGAAATCCTATTACAGGCCATTATTTTGTGATGATGATAGCGAACTACGAATACCTGCCCGCTGGGGGCGCCCATCCCCCTCGATTTTCGTCCTTTGTGGAGCTGCTGCTCATTATTATTATAATATAATTATATACGAAAAATAAGTATATATCAAAATAATTGGCATACGCGTACTTGAATTTGCATTTCTATTGAAAGCAGCTTATGGCCTGGGCTCCGCTCCGCTCCACTCCGGTCCGCTCCCCTTTCACCCGTTCCCCTTTCCGTTACCGTTCCCTATCTTAACCCAGCGACTCCGATGTCATCCATTGTCGTCGTCTCTCATTGATATCGAAATACTCGTAAATACTGGGAACAAAGCACTCAGAGTCCTGAGCACGACTAGGCCCGGACCCTTCCTTCTTCTTTGCTTTTGATGTCAATTAATTAGCATAATAATGGCAGGCTTCACATTTCGCACTCCCCATGTCCCCACCCGAAGAGGTCTCAGCTTACGTATTACAATTTGATTTGAATAGACATTTCCAATATTCGGTAACATTTGGTTTTTGTTCTAATTAAGACCGTTTTTGTAATGGGAAACCTTTTCGCCTGCTGCTGCTGCTCGGGATGAAGATGATGAATGTGAAGGGGGGCGGGGGGGAGGAGCTGGCAGGAAGCAGAAATGCTTTTATGATTTTGCAAATCATTAATCAAAGTAACAATGATATTGTATTGCATAATTCTAGCTCTCCTCTGCACCCACCTCGCCCCTCTGGGCGTCGTGTGTGTGTGTTTGTGTGGGTGGGTGTGCCCTGTTAATGAGACTACAACAAAACAGGTGCTGCACGTAGTATGGCAGTTATCTGCTATTCTCCGAACATAATTTTAATTAATGAAATATGAAACTCGAGTTTATGCAAAAGGCCATGAGCGGATAGACCGGTTGCAGTGGGAGTGGAATCAAGGCTATTCTTGGGAATGTGAAACTTTTTATGTTGGCCTTAACATAGCCCCTTGATGTTTGCCAGCTCCTGTGTAATAGGTTTTAATGAGCTTCATTAGAACATTAGACGTGACAGGGCCAGGGCCAGGGCCAGAGCGAGCTATTTTCTATACTCGTATCAAGTGAAAATACATTGCCGCCTTTAAAGGCAGCTGAGATTCTGAGCAAGTTCTGAGGGAACCCTCGGCGGCTGCGGCTGCTTGAAGAAACTGCAGCCACAATTGGCAATCCCATTGAAAGCGATAAACCTCCATTATCCATTGCTAATCTGCGCAACTAATTGTCGCCGACCAGCTGAAAACCATGCCACAAGCTCAACATTAGGCGGGCAGGGAGCCGCAAGAGCTCATAAATTAATTCATTAACGTCAATCTAATTGCCAAATAATCCTCCTCATGTCTGCTTATTCCTCAAGGCTTCTGGATGTTTCAAAACCGGAAAATACAAAAAAAAAGCCACAAAATCGTCGCTGTTTTCGGGGGGAATTATGGTGGCAGTCTGTCAGGCAGGCGGCAGTCAGTATGAGTCAATATAAACGTTTATTATATGCTATGAGAATACGTGTGCAGTTGTTTGGCCTGTTCACTTCCGCTTCCGCTTGACGAAGACGACTACGACGACGACGACGACACGAAGATCCCATTCAAGTGAATTGCTGCCGCCAAATGAAATGAAAAATTCAACACGACACACAGTCCCAGGCCCATGGCCCATGGCCCAGGGCCCAGGCCCAGTAGCAGTAGCAGTTGGAGTCACAGACACAGAGCCTTAGAAGGAGGCGAGTGCGAGCTGGCAGCACGCCTAACGAGAACGAATCGTCGTCGTGCCTCAGTGGGGAATGCAACAGGCAACAGGCTGCCGTTTTTGGCTGCCAACTAACAAGCCAACTAACAAGAGAGGTCTTCCCCGGTGGCTGGTGCCTGGTGCTTGGTGCCTGGATGCCTGGGTCCTTGTTCCTGGACTCGTGCCAGGCGGCACTTTTGGCAGCAATCGCATGTTGCATGCCACTTTTCGGGCGGCACAAACGTGACGCCATTAGATGGGCCTTCGTCCTTAGCCTTTTCGCCTCTGGGAAATATTTTTTATTGTTTTTTAATGCCACTCGCTCAAAGTTCTGGTCTCTCTCTCCCTCTCTCTCTCTCTCTTCGCTCTGTTCAATAATGCTTCTCCCTTCTTTTTTGGCAAAGTTTCAGACCACAGGACGGCCAATTACAATTGAAGGGCTTACAGTGCATTTAAAAAGTAATTTGTCTGCCGCCCCAAAAGCCGCGCACGTATTTATGTATTTCAATGCAAATGCAAATGTAAATGCAACCAAGACTCTCCTGGGAGGGACCTGTTGTGGCGATGGGGCGCGGGCCCAGTGGATCTGAGGGTAATCAGAGCTACCCGTGTTCACTAATGGTTATACAAGCCGCAAGGGCAACCCGTGAGCCCGGGGAGCCACCCGGACAGGGGCGTTGAAATGCAGCCAGGGCACACACACACACACACACACACACACACACACACATACACACTCTCTCGCACATAATAAACTCGCGCAGGGAAGTATGCAACGTTCCACGTATTCTGGGGAGAGGCAGATGAGGCAGAGGCAGAGGACTACGGGTACTACATACGTGTCTGGGGACATGTTAACATGGCAGTCGTGCCAAAAATTATTATTCCCGCCTCGCCTCGCCACGTATACGTACGCTTTGAAAGTGGCAGTGACAGTGCCACTGGCTTTGGCTTTGCATCTGCTGCTTTTTGCTTGTTGCATACTTTTAGGAATGAGTGTGAGAGTCGATTTGTCAACGCCTAAAAGGACAACATATTTCTTCTGGCCAAACGAAAAAAATTGCCCAGGAAATGGCCGGCAAATGGTTTCAACAAATGAATTATATATATTTGTACACACATATGCAACTGATTTGCATTTTATAGTTTCTGTTTCAGTTGCAGTCGGAGCTCTCCCATTTTTTTCTGATTTCTTCTGATGCTCGTTTTGGCCGCAGCTTGTTTTAATTGCCAAATGAATTGGCCTCGCCGGCCTGGTCCGCATTTGTTTAATGGTCAGCCATTTTTATCTATCAATTAAAGCAGCGACAACGAAATGTTTTCAAAAAATGCCAGCACATAAATTTTAGAGCTAATGGTAATGGGATATTCCCTTCTTTTTTTTTGGGAACAACTGTTGATGGGCGGTTGGCGTTTTTTTTTGGTTTTTGTGTAAGGGGAAAGTTTTGACTTTAGGGAAAACCGATTTAATCTGTTCGATTGTGTGAAATTGAATTCAATTTTTGGTGATCTCTGCTGCCTGGGCCTAAAACTGACTGCTTTTAGGGACGTGGTATTCTCTAGTGGACCTCACTTCCACCTACTATCAGCTGTAATTTGTCCACTGCAATTTTCGGTGAACGTGTCGAAAGATTCAACACCTAGTACGTTTGCAGCTCCAGTTGCAGTTAGTGCAACATGGGCTGTGGCACGTTCCGCCTGCCTGTGCAGTGTGACCACCGCTAAAACGCCTAATGACGTTTACACGGCCAACATAATTACAGTAATAATGTGGCCGAGACCTGGCCACGACGACGACGACAGCACCACTGTTGCGAGGAGTGGTGTGGCGGTGTTACGGATGTGGACGGCGATGGCGATGATGATGTTGATGACATTAGCGAGGTGTCAGGCGACAATTTAACGAGCGACAACGTTGCATACACGTACACGGACACGTATACCTACATGCACGTACATGTGTGTGTATGCGCGGAAAGGATTCCTGCCTTCCTGCCAGCCTATTGTGTGCCACATGCAACACCAGCAGAAGGACCAACAAAGCACATTCGTCACGAAATGAGGAAAGGAAGCAGCAACAAAACTCTTGCTCTCCTCGTGCGTGTGTCGACCAACAATTTTGTATGCTTTTAAATTAGCCAAAGTGTGAAAGTGTCATGTTTCGAAATATGAAATTAACAAGAGCATGAGCCGAAAGAGCAAAACGGAGCAACAAGAACGCGATGCCTCCTTGTTGCTGTTGCTGTTGTTGATACTCTGTAATTTGTTGGCCGAAAATTGAAAGGAAGTGCACTTCAATTAATGTTTGCTCTCCCTCTTATGGCCGGGCTTAATGCTGTTTCCCTGCAACTGGAAGAGCAGCAGAAAAACTCTTCAAAATACATGTATTGACCCATAAACCAGAACGAACCCTTCATTCGCATGCGAATCTGCCACTCACTCTGTTGCCAATGACAGTGTTTAACGAATTTTCCAATTAATTTTCATTTAAAAGACAAACCTGAGTCGAGCCCAGAAAAACTCCCAATAGAATAGCAGCAATAGCAGCAATAGCACGAGCGCACGAGTACCAGTAAAAAGTAGCAGTAAAACTAATTATAAATTCGTTTTCAGATTTCAATTTCGCTGTCAGCGGCAGTCGAGGGCTGAGCAGAGCAGTGTCAAAACGGTATTTCAAAAGGCTTCTTTCTCATCCGTCCCCCCAGGAACCACTGGGCGAGTAAGTAATCTTTTCCGGCAAATAAATCACACCATCGCCCGTGCGACTGCGACTGTGACTGCGACTGCGACTGCAGTTGAAATTAGTGTAAATGCCACTAAGCCACCTAAAAGTATGCTCAGCATTAGCGGAGTCCGCAAAAAATCCTGCAATTTACGTACTATGCGGAAAGTTACTTTGGCCCCGGACCCGGACCCGCACCCGAATCTGAAAAGTTGCGACGCGCTGTTAACCGCAGCCCCAGGCGGCCCCCAAAAGGAACAGGGCGGGACAGCAAGGCAATGCATACATTAAACAACTTTTGGCTCATTGCATTTTGGCCGGGCTCCGGCCCCAGCCTCGTCCCCAGCCCCAGCTCCAGCTCCAACTCCGACACCGACTCCGACTCCTCCTCTGCT